AAATCACTAAATTCAAAATTGGACAAATTACGAATTTGATAATTGAACTTTAGTCTTTCTCATATACTCATTATACTTTAAACATTTTTAAATTTCTCACTGAACCATTGAGTTTTTTGGGTCACGTTTCCTCACTAGAAAGGTTATAAATGGATTTTTATATAGATGCAAAGCGAAGTCGTTTTGGTGAAAATTTAACGACAAAGTGACAAAAAAATCCAATGTATTAAGTTTAATGAGAAAATTGAAAATTTTTAAAGTTCAGTAAGCAAAATAGAAGAGTACAATTTAGTGATAAAATTTGTAGTTTACCCTTCAAAATTTAAGTGTCAATTTAGTTTATTACACAAATTCGTTATTGATTAATACTTAATAAATTAAGCTTAACAAGAAAATGCAAAAAGTCTATAATATCATAAGAAAATAAATATATTATAATCAAAGAATCAACTTCATTACAATGAATGAATGAAGCAACAAAGAATGAAATCTCAATCACAAACACTCAAAATCAACACAAAAGAGAAAGCAATGAAATTCAATTTTTCAAGAAAGCAAGGAGAGAGACAATCAACGAAAGGCAAACAGCAGCGCCGGAAACGGTCACGGAGAATCCGGAACCGGCGTCCGGCACCGGAGACGGCGACGGAGCCTCGCTAACTTGCGCCGATGCGGTGGCGGTTAAGATTGCCATGACTAGAGCCGCCAGAAAAGCCTTCAAGATGCTAACTCGAGCCATTTCTGAATAAGAGAGAAGCTGAGAAGATTGGATATTCTTTTCTGCTGGAAATCGTGAGAAAAATTTGTTTGTTTGGCATTAGAGAAAGGAAAGGAGAGTATTTATAAAGGGAGGGGGCGGCGCGTTGGGCCCACTGACAGCTGGGTGTTTTTAAGGAGAGTGTTCATAACGTTCACATAACGGCTACTAGATTAAACGTTCAAATAATATTCATAACTTTTAAATTCATAAATTTATCTTAAAAATTACATCTATTATGCACGTACCAAACATTCGTATCAACGGGTTGATTCAAGTAGATAGTAACTTGGTATCGTTTAAGTAAAGTCTCAGGTTCGATTATTTGTGTATGTAGAAAATCCTAGTCGGAAGACTCACCCACTAAAACTAGGTGTGTGACCCGGGTCGGTCCAGATTAATTAGGACAAAGTCTTGAAACTTGAGGTCAACAAAAAAATCCGTAAACATTCTCAGTGGTTAGTGAGATGATTGTTATTCCTAAAAGTTTTGGATTCGAATACTAGTGATTGCAGAATATTTTTCTTAAATAGTTGATAGTCTATAGAACAAATAATACTCATTTGTAATCACCCTATGTTAATTTGAATCAGATTTTTAAATAGTATGAGTGATTAAGGTAATGTATGTTTATTTTTTTAACCAATTGATAACATAATAGTGACTTAAATTCAATACCCTTAAAAAAATTACATTTTATTTTATCACTGAAATCACATATAGATTTCGAATAAAGTTTTTCTTAATCACAAGACTGTTGAAAAACTATATATAATTAAAATTATTATTTGAATTCAAATACCACGTCATTTATAAAAAAATAGAAATATAATATAATTTAGGGTAAAGTACATAAATGGTCATTTGACTATAGGATATTATTTTACTAAGTCTACTAACTATTAAAGTTACAAAATGATCCTCCGACTACAAGGAATTACTTTATTGAGTCGATTGACTATTAAAAGTTACAAAACGGTCACTCGACTATTCATTATGTTCCAAACTCGTTATTTTCTGTTATAAAATTGACGACATCCTGAGTTGTACGTTAACCTGTTGATTGAGATATGATAAAATATTATCTCATAATCTCAAACGACTATCATATCCCAGTTAGCATAGTAACGTCAAACTCAAATGATAATTTTTTAACATAAAAGTGGTTCAGTCTAGAACATAATAGTCAAATGACTATTTTGTAACTTTTAATACTCAAGGGACTCAACAAAACAACCCATATAGTTGAGGGACTATTTTATAACTTTTAATAGTCAAGAGACTCAGTAAAATAATATCTTATGGTCAGGGGACCATTTGTGCACTTGACCCTATAATTTATTGATTAAAAAATATCATTTAATTTTAAAATTTTAGCCGACGAAATCGGCGAACCGTTCCGTCGCTAAAAATAGCCAAAAACGTCACCTATAAAACATCCTCCCCCACCACCGTTCTCCTCAGACCTGCAACCACAAAGCAAATAATAACAAAAGAACATCGACCAAAACTCCGTCACCGATAAAAAGGCAGGTCTCTCTTCTTTCTTCGGTGAGTTTTTTCTTTCAAACAACCTTCTTTTCTTGCACGCCATGGACATGAAGAAGGTTTCTTGCGCCATCATCGTCGCCGCGGCCTCGATGAGCGTCGTCATGGCCGCCGGAGCCGCTTCGGCTCCTACCCCTTTGGCAGATGGTCTAGCTCCAAGCGCCGCAGTCGGGTCAGCTTCGGCACCTGCACCAGGCAGTTCCGGCGCTGCCGCCGCCTTGCCGGTGCTTGGATCCCTTGTCGGGGCCTCAATTGTTTCTCTTCTTTCTTACGTCTTGCAGTAAGCTCTGATTAATGCATGAAAATAGACGAGCGGGTGATGATGAGGGAGATAATGGAGCTTTGATTACATATATTGTAACTTGGTGTTCAATTGTTGAAGAAATTATGTTTATGATATTATATTTATTTGTTTTTGAACAATTTCTTCAATTGAGTTACAAAATAAAATCATAAAATATATCAATAGGTTAGTTCGAGTAGTAAGCAACTTAATATTATTTAAGTAGATTTTGAATTTGAGTTATTATCTATATAGAAAATCTTCGTTGAAAGATTCATTCACCAAAAGTAAATGTACGATATGAGTCGATTCAGATTAATTAGGACAAAATCTCAAAATCGAAAGGACAAAAATATTATTAAATATATAGAGTATTCAATAATTATGAAATTTGAGTATGAATTAAATGATGTGATATGTTCAACTTACACTAAGTAAAATTTAAAAGTTTTACACCTTTTTAGGATAGTTGGATGAGAGAAAATTAAAGGCTAAGATTAAAAAGTAAGAAATCATAAGATATTCACTTTGAAAAAAAACAAAGAGTTAATCTCGACTTTTAATTTTCTCTTATCCAATGATCTTAAAAAGGTGGGTGTAAGTTGGTTTTAACCCATGATGGGATAATATATAATCAATTGACATATAATAAATTTAATAATTATATAATTTAAAAGTTGGTGTGTCGTTATCTTTTTTCTTCTTTGTCTCGTTAATTGGCGGCGGCACCAACTTTAATGTTAGTTGTTGATCGTCGGTAATTTTTATTGTCATTTTCTTTTCTTATATAGTAATTCTATTTCTTTTTTTTTCTCAGTAAGTCTGTATGTATGACACGTTTTTATCTGTCTTTATTAAACATTTTCTTATACTCTTTCATATGTTTTTCGATTGTTTGATCTTTTTTTATTTATATTTTTCTAAGAGTTGATTTGATATTGTCACGACTGATCAATCTTTATTTGATTCCCTTTTGTGGTATGAGTTTGGTTGTTTTAATCATCATCACTCGAGTCTGATTTGCTATTTGTTTGTGGTCTCTCAATAGCTTCATTTCCTTCTATGGTTCGTTTACTGATACAATCAGTTATGTTTGTATCTATCTTTGTTTGAGCTTCTTGGTTAGATTTCAATTTATGATCCTTATGTGATCTTTATTTGCTAGTTTTGTTTCAATAATTTTAGAACCTAATTATGCACTTACTTTACAATTATGATTCTAAATCTTCTTTATAACTTGAAATATTTCCTATATTGAATAAAATTAATTACTTCTATTAAAAAATATAGAATTTGAATAAAAAATATAACATATACATAATTTTTGGTTTATATTTTATATGATATTATATTATGATATAATGGATTGATGATATGATTTATCTTTAGACTTCAGGTAAAATAGAGGTTGAATTAGAACTTAAAAAATTAAAAATAAATAATTTAAAAATAAATAGTTTTTAAAAATATGATGTTTATATAATTAAAAAAATAATTAAAGAGTATTAAATTAAACGAAAATACCAAACCAACAAAAAAAATTAAATTTTAATAAAGAAATTGAAAAGGTTTAAACTTCAACTATAAAATAGGAATGAGTAAAATTTAGTAAGCAACTTTGTCATTTACCCTAAGTTTAAATATCCTTTATCTTAAATTTTAAGGTAAGTTACACGTTTAATACTTAAATTATTTCTTTCTTTTTTCCATTTTGATACTTATTTTTTTTAAATATACTTAACCTTTAGTTTATATTTCAATTTGGTACTCATCATTAAAAATTAATAGAAATGTACGCTTGATTTTTTTTTAGTTTTTTTAATGATGATATGACATTATCTTATGGTTACACGTCAATATCATAGTTAAGGTTTTAGTAAACTATATGGGTGTCTACTCAACTATTATCCTATTTCATTTTGACCACTGATGTTTCAATTTCGCCAATCAAACCATCCATCTATTTAAATGGTTCAATATAGCCACTTTTCGTTAAAATTTAACGGAGAAAATGAAGCGATAATTAGATATTTTGATATAATTACATATTTGATCCATATTAATTATATATTCTATCAATTTGATCATTATTTTAATAAACCCCTCCAGTCGAATGATGACATGTGTCATGACACATGTCACCATCTAATTTGAGAGATTATTTTTTAAAATTTATAAAAACATAATATCAAATTGATGGAACACATAAGTAAATGAGACTAAATGTGTAATTATACCAAAATATTTCACTACCATATCATCCTCTATGTTAAATTTGAACAATAGGTGGCTTGATTGAATAATTTAAATAGTTGGTTGGTCTGATTGAAGAAATTGAAACACTGGTAGTCAAGATGAAAGGGTAGTGAGTCAAGCATCGATAACTAAGTGGAAAAGCATTCGTTGGCAAAGATAAAGTTGTAGGCTTTATAAATAAAAGGAAAAGAAAAAGAGAAAAAAAAATCAAAAAATCAAAAAATAAAGAATAAAGAATAAAAAAATCATACGATCAAAGACCGTCCTTCTCGTCTGGATTTCTCAGATTATTATACAGAAATTCTTCAATTCAGGTATTTAATTTTTTGTTTAATTTTAATTATTTTCTGGGTTTGGTTGATTTTTTTAATAACGTTTGCTTGAAATTAGATACGAGGAAGGGATTATTTATTAGAATTTTCATCTTAACTTTTGATTTTTCTCTTTAATTTGCACGAAATAGGAACCAACAGGTTCGATTTGTCAGATAGGATCGGCCAATTGAAAATTTTAGGTAAGCGGTTTTCGTAAATATGGTTTTCTCCCAAATTTTTTTAAAATTGACCTTTCGATTAGTTTTTCCTTTTATTTTGATGATCTAGGTTGCTTTTTGGGCTGATTAGAATTGGTCTGCGTTTTGGAATTTTTGGGTCAATTTGATGTTAAGGGTTTTTAAAGTGAAAAAAATTGTGCTAGAAGGTACAATGGATTATATGCTTGCTTCTGAGGTTAATAATATTCATACAAATTGAAAAAAAAATCTGAAAATTTGTTGATAGGGAAGAGCCCTAAATTATTTGTGCTTTAAACTTCAACTAATATTCATTGTAGTTGGGCAATTGTTGCCTTTTGACCGTGGCAAAGATGGTTCTAGTAAAAAACTCGGCCCGAGACTAATAACAAATCGTTATCTCTTCCGCTGATTGTTCAGTATGTCGACTTCTAAAATAGATACAACGGACATTGTTGTGAGTATAGTTTACGGGAATTTCGTCCGGAGTGCTTGGTCGACGGGAAACCCTCCTTCCCAATGAGCTTGTTGTCATGCTAAACTGGTTTAAGGATGTTGCATAGTAGACATATGTATGCGATATTGGTATTAGCTGCCTATGTTCGCACATCCTTGTACACCGCTCATTTGTGTTCTTTTAATCGTTTTTCTCTCTCGATTGGTATTATTGTTAACTGACTCTGTATTGCCTCTTTTTAAAGCTCCGTCGTAAATAAACTAAATATCCACAACACCTAATATCCCTACGATTAGCGATGATATTTATGCTTGATTCTGATGTAGTGTTGATTCATTGATCATAGTAGAGAGAATCGATCGAGGTTCTTGGTGTTATCATGCTAATTGAAAGTTAAATGCTTAGTATGTGCACCCTCTAGGTACATGAATCGGCCTCCCTGTTTCTATCTAAGGTTTATTCATATCCATCTTGAAGAGTTGAATAGCTTCTGGTCCTTTGGATCATCTTTTCCTTATCTTTGTTTTAGATTCATCCTCCTTTTACAGATTACTCATGATAAGGTAGAATCCTTGCAGGAGATTAGAGAAAATGGAGTCTCACGATGAGACCGGGTGCAAAGCCCCCGAAGGCCCCATCCTTTGTGTCAACAACTGTGGCTTCTTCGGAAGTGCAGCTACCATGAATATGTGCTCCAAGTGTCACAAGGCGATGATCGTGAAGCAGGAACAGGCACTACTTGCTGCAGCATCCATCGGGAGCATCGTGAATGGTGGCTCAACCGGCAATGGTAAGGAACCGGCTCTCGTTGCTGCTTTGGATGTACAATCGGGAAAAGCCGACACAAACATAGTCACGGCAGGACCATCCGCCGACCCATCCGGGATGACTTCAAGTGGGATGAAGCCCAAAGAGGGTCCCAACAGGTGTACCAAATGCTGCAAACGCATCGGTTTGACGGGGTTTAACTGCAAGTGTGGAAACCTCTTTTGCACCGCTCACCGTTACTCCGACAAACACGAATGCCCTTTCGATTACCGCGCTGTCGCTCGCGATGCTATTGCGAGAGCCAACCCTGTAGTCCGGGCCGAAAAGCTCGATAAGATCTGAGAGACCTGGATCCAAGATAAGTGTGAAGGTTTACGTAAGTCGGTTGCTTGTCTCGTTACTTGTCCCCTCGATCAATATTACATGTCGGAGTCCATCACAGGGAGGGGACATGATTGGCAGTGTAAGTCTATATTTCCTCGGTTTGTAAGTCTTTTTATTTGTGCCTGTTTTGATGAAACATCGATACGATCACCTTGTAATGCTTCTTTGTGGTATGCATTTCTTTCTATTTTAAGATGCCTATGAGTGTGGAAATTGTTGAAGTTCAATTTGGTAAGATGAATTTGAATATAAAATGCAAATGTTTGTGACATGGATCGATCCGAAACTTTGGAAAAAATATATTGGAATCTTTAACATTCTCTACAAGTTTATAACCATTTTTTTTCGAAGAAAAAGGCATTGTATAAACACTATTTTCAAAGAAAAATCCCAAAAACGCATCATATAAGAAAACTTGTTGGTGAGTAGACTTGATGCTCCTCAAGCTCATGAAGATTTGATGTTCCAAATGCATGGAGGAATGCAGCACTACATAAAGGCTCTAATAAAGCCGGTAAATCTCTTCAATTTCGTATGCGCAACAACAATGAACCTGCAAGTTCAGTACTAAATCGAGCATCATCAGAACGTAGAAGCACTTACTCGGTTACTAAACACAACTTCATATTCTGTGCATCAATGATGGCCAACCACGAAGCCGCTGTCTATGTTTTTCCGGTGCAGACAGAAAGGAAGATTCAATATTAGATGGCTGAGATTCTTATGATTTGAAAGCGCAAAACAATTACTACCTCTTTTTCAGCATATATATATATATATATTCTTGAAATACTCCACTGCCCTACTGTAGCCTTTGCACCCATCTCTGAAGATAGAAAACAAGGAACACACATGTTGAAAATTAGAGAACACAATATATTGGTGTAAAAGTGGAGAAATGAAAAGGGTAGGAAGCACTCACCCCATTCACCTCAATGCGTGGGATGTGAGCAATCTTATGCCAATCAGCACCGATGTCCTTCCGACACCTCTCCTCCAACTGGGGACTTTCTTCTGTACATGAATCTTTCAAATTTGTGAGCGAAGGAAGCCAGCTGGGAATCATGGCACTGCCCCTCCATAGTATCACACGGAGCTCTTTCAGATTAGGATGGGGCTGCAGATCTTCAAGTGACTTCTCTTCATCAGCACCAGTAGTGCCGCCCCAATCTAAAGCCAATGATTCCAAATGTTGCTCCTCTTTCAAATTAGCTGCCCTAAACTCCTCTTTTGCATTTTTCACCAATCCCAGATTTTCTATCCATAGCATTCCCCTTAAGTTGTTAAGCCCACCCAATTCACTTAGATCTGCAGCATCACCACCATCATGGGAACCACGTCTATCCACCACAAACTGGGGTAACGTCTGAAGCGAAGTCAGCTTCCCTATTCGACGTGGCATATGAGTTAAGCTCCAACAATCAAAACATGAAAGGTGGGTAAGATTCACCAATTTTTCAATCTTCTTTGGCAGTTCTTCAATCCCCAGACACCCGTCAAGTTTCAGCACTGGTAAATTTTGTAAATTGCAAATACTATTCGGGAGGATCTTAAGATCTTTATCCCTAGAGAGATCAAAGTACCTCTAATGTTTGTTCCCCAGTAACTATTTTCTGTTATCTCTTGAAAGAAACTTCTTTCCGCTAAGTCTTTAAAACAATCCAACCCAATCTCTTCGAGAGATTTATTCGGAGCTGATTGCTTTACAAAACCTCGTGCAATCCAGAGTTGAACAAGTGTTTGTATTAGAGGATGGAGCCTACTCTTTCAGGATGGTTAACTTTAGCATGACCCAAGCTGTTAACGGATGTTATATGCATATGCAAACATGTCTTGATTTTAAGATGTTTGATAAAATAGCTATTGCATTACGCTGAATGCTTTTGCATTTTCCTGTCTGATATAGGAAGTACCGCCACTGGAATTCCCAGAGCTGTTAGCAGTTTTGTTCAGGCAGTCTAGACCTTTACTGGATCAACTAGGCATCAGAAGAAGTAGTTGTATCTCTCTTATTCTTCTGTTTGGTATGTACAGAGATGAGTAGCTTATCGTTCATTGATGTAACTCTCTAACCTTAGATGGATTAGGTCGGATCCAAGAGTACCATTAACTTATCTCCGAAAACTTGCCTAAACGTTATTTAAAAATACTTTAAAATTAACCCTCACATTTATTGATTTCAAATACTTTAAGTAATCAAAATAAATGGAATAATAATTTAACATGAATAAAACGTATATCAAGTCCCAAGGTTTAAGTCCACAATCCAAAACAGAATTTATGTCCAAAGTTCCAAAATATTTAGACATTAAATACAATCCAATAAAATATTAATAAAATAGAAAATAGAAGATCCGAGAAAAATTGTCATACTATGAAAATAATGAAATCTGAATAATGTCGAACTCCAAGTACCAAGTCTCCTAAGTCCGAGTATCTGAAAGAGAAACTATGGAGGTGTAAGCTATTAAGCTTAGTGCACCTCTAAAGTGCAAGCAATTGCAAATATATCGTAATCCGAACAACAAACAACATTCAAATCCGAATCAACCAATAAATCATAATTCCAAGTCAAGTAGTGCTATCACAAGTTTAAATTTATGCAAATGCTCATTCACCCACCCGTACACCAATCTCATCAAAAAAGTGTGGGTTCCCCGTAACTACACTAAATCCAACCCACACACCATGAAAGTGAGGTTCGCCACAAAAGCATATGCCACTGAATTTGAAAATTTGACATTCATCTCGTCGAGTGAATGCTTTGAACTTCCCATATCAAAATCCGTCCCAATATGATATGCAAATGGCACCCAAATTTTAGGTTTTTGATTTGAGGATTTATTGGGGTGTTACAATTCTCTCCTTAAAAAAATTTTCGTCCTCGAAATTTACCAATAGAAAGATAGAATGGCTTAAGAAAAATATCTTCAATTTCATCTGACTCATCTCGATCCTCATACCTCCGAGTAGCATATATCAACTCAGACTGTCTTGCTGTAGATCTACCAGAACCTATATTCTGAGCCAGTTTACCCCTGCTAATCGATCCAGAACCAGAACCAATCGGTCAACTCTGATCCCTACTTCGAGTCGATGCTTTAACAGAAGCCTGCGACTGACTAGGGCCATAAGAACCAGTAGCCAAAAGGGGATAATATATAAAGCGGTTCTCTTGAGACCCACAACGGAAACACCCTCCAGTCTTCCTCCAACACTCCCCAGGATGTCTCTTGTTACAATAAGAACACAACGGTACCTCATAAACTTCAGTCGAACCTCTTGCAGTAATAATCGGAGCAGTAGATGTCACCGGTCTAGCTCTGGGATGACCCTGAGAGCCCATATCATCCCTCGATCTCTTGCCGAACTGATTCACAAAAACCGTATGAGTAGGTGATCTTGGTTGCTTTAGAGTTCTATCAGAATAATGGAATTTAGGACCTGTCGGTAATGGCTCGCTCTTCTCAACAATTCTGGCCCGAGCAACTAAATTATTCAATACCACGTCATGGTGTAAGGCAACCACTGAACGAATTAAGGGGTAAAGACCTTTCAGAAACCACTCACACTTCTCCTTTTCACTCGAAGCCAACCTTGGAGCATACTTAACCAACCTCATAAACTCAATTTCATAGTCGATCACAAACATCATTTTGCTTCAGATTCATGAAATCCTCCCAACACTTTGCCAGATACTCAACCCCCACATAACGATCCCGGAAAGCCTATCGAGAATCTCCTAAGTGACTCGTCGAACTGGAATAATATCCTGTTCAGATTTCCACTAGTCCCGAGATTCACCTCCCAATAGCGATACTGTATCCCTCAACTTACGTTCAGTCGGGTAATCCATCTCCTCAAACAATCGTTTTCGTGTTAAATGAATTGTTGTTATTTCTTGAGGACTCGGGTTAAAGCATCATAGATGGCAGGTGTAAACATTCAACGTCGAAAGATTTATTCTATATTGTATTTACTCTATATTAATAAAAAAATATAACAATAATGTATATAAGTAGTCTTATTATTACAATAATGGTATTGAGTAAACCTAATTTAGTATAAAAAAATTGTTCTTTCTAAATAATTTGGATTCGAGCTGCGCAATATACATTGAGTTTAAAGTTAAATTTTTTTGGCTAAAAAATATGAAACTTTTATCTCCAAAAGTAAATAGAGTTGAATGACGAAATTCTCGAATCCAAATAGATTTGATAAATTATTGTAACTATATTTTATCCTTTCTCTTATTTTATTCATTATACTTTAATTTTTTTTTCAATTTTTTCACTGAACTTAATGTATTAGTTTTTTTGTCACTCAATCATTTTCTCACTAACGACGTTATAAATGGACTTTTATGTAGATACAAAATATATCGTTTTGGTGAATTTTTTTTTTAAAACGGTGTTGTTTTAACCTGTTAACTATTTAACTGCAGAGTGACAAAAAAATCTAACATATTAAGTTTAGTGAGTAAATTATTTTTTTTAAAGTTCAGTGAGCTAACTAAGATAGAAATAGAGTTTGGTGATGAAATTTGTAATTTACCCATCCAAATATTATTTAATTTCATAAAAATAAATTAAATGTTCACAGCGAGCCTGATCCATATCAATTTGAAATTATTGGCCCAGTTGAAAATGTTGGATTGGGTTTGCTATGGCCATCATCGTTTATGTTCATTTCTTCGATCTCTCTCCATCTCGCTCGCTCTCTCGATGGCTCTCTGTCACAAATTCGAAACCTTAATTTGACACCAAGAAAATATCTGATCGAAGAATCCGCTGAAAGAAGAAGGCTATATTCTCCTGCACTGATCTAATTGATTCTTCAAAGTCCCCGAGTCAACTCGCCCAGAAATCACAGCCGACTCATCAGCTTCCCGCCAAAACGGTAATCGGAGGAGAGGAAGAGGGAGAGAGTGATGGCGGATCCGGCCAACACGCCACTTGGAAAAATGCTATTGGAGGAGATCACTCCCGTGGTTATGGTGCTCAGCACTCAACTTGTTGAACAAGCTTGCCTCAAGAACGGAATCTCCTTCGTCCAGATGCTCTCCCCTTTCTGCGACTTCACAAACATTGACGGTGAAATTTTTTTATTCACGGATTGTATTATATGCATTTATTCGTGCTTTTGTGTCTGTGAATCTCACATTTGAAGGTGATTTCTTTTTTTTTTGGTTGCTTGTTACTTATCTGAGTTTTTGTGGCAGTGCCTGTACGGACGGCAAGTGATCAACCCTAC